ACATTAATTTTTTAAAAAATTATAAAAAAATAAATCATTATAAAACATATGGAATTTTGATATAGAATCATTAATTACGTATACAAATCTTATAAAAAACATATCATTTCCTTATTTCGATTTCTTATAGGGCTAAAGACATTTTTAAGTCTCCTTCAACACTTCAACAGCGAAAAAGATTACATCTTAATGAGGATAACTTATCTTTATCACTAGTACCTGATAATCCACGATTGTCAACACCTAGAGTTCTGATTGAGACTGATAATATAACTCCTAATTCAATGGTTAGTAAATTATATTCGTTTTACTTATTAAATTTATTTTATCATATTTTTTTAAAAAAAAATAAAATTAGCAATTTTATATTTAAGGTAATAAAGAGACTAGTAAATATTCTGTTTTGTCATTTTATATATATTATGTATCTTTTTTTTTTGCTTATTAATTAAATTTATATTAGCTGTTGATGAATGAACTTTGAGCAAAATCCTTGAAGTCGAGCAAAAAAACACTGCACTTTTAAGAGAGATTGTCCAAAAACAATTAAGATTGGAAGAAACAATTGAAAATAGATTCAATAATATTATTGATACTATTACAAGTTTAAAAGAGTAATAATCAGCTTTTAGTGAGATGAACCAAAAGGAAAAAAATTGAACCTTTCTTTAAAGTATATTTTTTTATTGTTATCATTTATTTTTTCGTTTGAATAATAATCAACTATAATACTAATTAATATTATTGCTATAGGGGTCAGTTAAATAACTTTCTCATAAATTGTTTCACAATCATAAAACAGTGTCAGACGAAAAAATGAAAGAAATGCTCAAGAGGATTTTAGAAAATGATAAATCATGCGATGTAAAATTAAAAGAACTGGAGAAGAAGGGTATTTCATATGATAGATTGTGGAATGAAGCTTTGTACTCAAATGTAAGTGTATTCTTATATTAATTAATGTATTCATTAATATTTTTTGTTTTGTTATTTTGCTATTTTGTAGCTACTTAGAAGAAATAGGGTAAAAAAAGGATATTATATCTGGCAGGTTAAAGAAAGCTTGTGGTCAACTTTTGGAATTTACTGAATCAAGCCTTTTGATGAAAATTATACGAGAGAACAAATGAAACAATAGAAAATTAATAGCGATGTTAGAAAAGTTTATGAAGACTTATATTCTTTAGTTGATTCAGACGATACTTATTTATCGTTAATCATCAAAAAGGTTTTTGTTTCTGAAGACGAGCAAATGAGAAAAAAATGTGATATGATGTCAAGCTATACTAGAAATTATCTTCAATGAAAATTACTTATCATCTAAGATAGAAACTGATACTATTGATAAATGGTAAATTGGTTTTTTATTTTCATTTTAGTTTTTCCGTTTTAATTTTGATTATTTTAGTTAGCTTATTTACAAGTATAACCATATTTTTGGTTAGTAGCAAATATAAATACAAAATATTTGTCAATTAATAAATATATTTTAATGTGTTAACTATTATATATGATATGTGTTATTTAATTATAAATGCCATTTTATGATAAGTATTAGTTGATATAATATTAGTGTTAGTTGATATAGGATTATGTTACCCTACATTTTAACATGCTGAACAACTCTAGTGTTAATTGATATGAAGTTTAACACCTCCAAAAAACTTACTGATGATAGTTGACTTTCTGAATATTTAGCGAAAAACTCTTCAAATAAGTATGATAGTATTCTAGCAAATAGTTTATTTTCTATTTTAAAGGTTAAAGTTCAAGCTAATATTATATTCTATACTACTAAGCAAAGCCTTAAAGATGAAAACAGATTATTGAAGTATACATTTGAAAGAGTATATTTACTATATTAAGTATTTTTTGTTTTTTGCATTTTTGGATCAGCATAATTATATCTTCTGTCATTAATAACCAATTAAATATTATGCATATAACTGTAAATCATTTTAGATTTTATTTACATTTTTAGTAAATCTCAGACTGTAATAGCATAAGTTTTAGAAGAATAATGGGATAAAGATCAAGATATAAGTGATACATTTAGAATATTTATTGCAAAAGTTATCAGAATATATACTATTGATATTTTAATTGCAATAGCAATTTATATTTTTCGAATACTTTAGCTTTAAATGAGATTAAAACTCTTAATTATATTATTTGTCATATATAACTTTCATATATATATCTAACCAACTTCACTAATGAAATTAATCTTAATAGAATTATTTCAACAGAATCAGACAGTAGAGTTTGTGATCATAGTTATGATGGTAAATTTATTAGAAATACAAGAGTAATAATAAGACTTCATTAAATTAATAATTGATTTTTAATGTATATTAGCAATGATAAAAAAATCAGCTTATTGTATTATATTACATAAATAATAATACAGTAACTTTTAATATAACAAATCCTAGGATCTGAATATCAACTTCATTATAAACTTATAATAATTTTTTTAAAGAATTAATTGGCTAGTTCACTATAGTAAGATATTTAATATATTTGATTTAAAAATTTGCTATATCAAGGGTTTGCTATATCAAGGTTTGACTGTATACACAATGTACATTTTTTATGTCCAAAGCATTTTAAGAATATCCAATACTATGTCCAAAATATTGTCAAAAAATGTCCTATAACAAAACTGGTATACAGTATGTAATATCTTAGATATTATAATTAATTAATTGTAATAGTTTAATAAATTATTAATATATAAATATAATCAAATTTCTTTTATTTTTCAAATACTTAAAATTTCTTTTTTGATAATGGTAAAAAAAAAGATTTTACACTTCAAATACTTCAAATAAAAAATGAGAATAATCAGGCTAATATACAAACGTCTAAGCGTCAAATTAAATTACAAATTACCTAGCAAGGAAACTGTTTCAGTAATAGTTACCATTGATTACACCAATCCTGATGACACTTTAGGACTTTTTAGGACTTTTCCAACCCTAGGGATTAATATCTGAATTTAGAGGATAATTATAGATAAAGAAGCGAGTTTCAGAATTTTTATGAACTTCTATTAGGGTTGATGCTTTGCGTTTTTCCTTTTGTTTAGGTTTTGTTACATTGGATAAAATAGATTTGGCGATATTGGCAGCCGATAATGACCTTGAACTTAAAAAAATATATATTTAACCGACCTCAATTCGTAAGGTAAAAGGTTTTTTTTCCACTTACCCTTACATATATATATTTATGTCAATGACAATGTCCATGATACAGTCAATATCATTTGGCGATAATAAATAAATAAATAATAAATAATAATAATAGTTGACAAGTAACACGAGACAGAATTTATATTATATTTGTTAATTAATAAATAATCATCGCTAACGAATCACGTGAGATAAACAACTTTAGGAAATGCCTGAAGTGTTATCATATTCACAAAATTCAAACAACATGTTCACTTGACATAAATTGACATTTCAAGGCTGTGTGCAGTATTTACATATGATCGTAAATAAAATCAATAAACGATTACTTGTACGAAAAAAAAAATGGCGTTTTTTCTATTCAAAAGAAAAAAAAAATAATTTTTTTTATTCCATAAACAAATTTCAGTCCAAATTAATACAATCATTGCAAAAAAGCACAAAAAGTCTAAATTTCTTGAAGTGAATATTCCCAAACTGGTAAGTATGCTTCCCAAGCCCTGAATCGAAATCAAATTTAAGGAGGAATGTAAACAAACAAAACTTGAATGTATCGATTAAAGGAGGAAAGCATCAAATCAAAAAAATATTTTCAAACATATTCGGAAATTTGATTCCTCAATAATAATATATCCAAATAATTAAATAATTAAAGATGAAGGATAAATGATATCAGATCAATATTTGGAAGCTTGGAACCAATTTTTTTTTTTTTAATAGACCCTGCACCTTTGTTTATGTTGATTGTTTTGACGGTTAAAATTTTTTTTTATTGTAATGAAAAAAAAGTTCAGGGGATGAGCAAATTAGGAAATAGCGGAACGTGGTATAGATTTATTGGCTTAATTATCGTAATACTGGAATTATTCATTTTTGAACGCTAGATTTAGCAATATGAACCGTGCTTTGATTGTGCTTTATGATATTAAAGATTTTTAAATGAAAATCACAATATTGATTTCAGAATGTTTTTTTTACGATGACATTCGCTAAAAGGATCATGTCTTTTTGCTTTTTTTGGTATTGAAGTATGGAATTTATTTTGAAATATTAATTGTTATCATTAAATGAGAAAAATCTTGAAACAATGGAATAATTTTTTTTTTGATTGTTATTCTCTAAGTTGAGGTGATAAGATTGTGAAAAGTGATATGTGGATTGTAAGAAGAACAAGTTGACGTTTTGGTTTCACTATTGCGTTTGTTTGCAGGTTGATATTGTTTGTCCTTATACGACCTAAATAAACTGCACTTCATGCAAAGCATTTATCTCTTTTTGGAAAGAGCGAGTCGAAGAGAAAACCTTTTTAGGATTCAAGGAATCTGGAGACATCAGTCAGTTTGATTAATTTGTTCAATCTCTTTGGTAATCCTTTTTGAAAAAAAAGTTTTGATCGTCAGCTAACAAATTAATTGGGCAAGAAGATTAATTGTCGCATTATTAACCTTATTCGCCAACTAGGAAGGTGAAAAGCACATTAAATGTCTAGTTTTGCTTATTTGTTGCTGTTTATACTGGCCAAAAGATGATGGTAACGCCAGCGACATTCTGCAAGTTTTATTAATTTTGGTAGCACTCACTTAGCCATTGACAAAATTAAACAATCTTTGAATCATAAATCAGTCTATTCTTTATGGAAGCCTTCGCTAAGCATTTTGGAAGTTTTGACTTCCCCATGACATGGGGAATCTTTTAAATTTACATTTGAGGAAATCATAAAGAGGAAAGAGGTTACAGGATTTGATCCACTCACATGTCGCACCGACCACCAAAAACGGTATATATATTACGTCATTGAATAATCTTTATTATTATGTCATGAAAAATTTTTTTACATATATAATATAATAAATAAATAATTTATATTTTAACAATAGATTAACTATAATATGTATGATATGGTTGGAAAATGCATCGTCAGATCTTGTTACCATACGATCAAAAAAATTCAGTGGGAAAATTTAAATGCGGTTATTTTTGAACGTAAATCGTTATACCAAACATCATTATCATCCTGTTCACCTATTTACTATTTGATGAATTTATGACAGAATTGATCTTCGTGGTTGAAGTTACAATTTTCCTTTTTAATTTTAATTATCAGTTATTTTTAATTCAAAGGTGGGCGATATTAAATTCCTATTATTTAAATACTATTTGTATTCCATGGATTATTTTATCCGAAGTAAGACCTAAAAATGAAAGTCGGACCACATCTGGTCAAATTAATAAAAGAAATCCCACGGCTAATCAGCCGCAAGTCGCAGTTATTTTAAATTATGAAACATCATATATGAAATTCCGAATCCGAGGCCAAGCACAATCATGAGGAATCTAAAAATAATTCAATTTAACAGTTTAAAAGTGATTGTAAACGATATGATTGTCTTTTTTAAAAATGTGTAACAGGTTCATTTCAACAATGTAAACCTGCATTTTTTTTTCTTTTCTCATCCAAAATTCTTAACTTTCCCCACAAACGCTCATTATGGGAACACAACCATTGAATAGACATTATCACATACCTTAATTTCTTTTTCTATATTCTATGTATTTTATATTATACCTTATTAGACTAAGATGTGCGATGAGCTCGTGATATCTTTTTATATATATATTTTATTTTATGCAACTCATTACATTAAAACTCTATAAAAATTCGATCTTTTTTCACCCCTCACTTTTTCACCAGTTTCAATTTTTTATTTTTAATCAAAAAAAAAATTTTGTTTATTTTTTTTTTAAGTTATTCATTTCAAATGTTTCATAAATCAAAAACCTTTATGACTAAAAGATAATTTAATCATTGATCGTCGAATACTCCAAACAAAAAGGTAAGGCAAAGAAAAGCTATTATTATGTTTTTATTAAAAAAAATAAAAAAAAAAATGCTAGCTACTAGGGGGAATTCTAAGGAGGTTTTCTAAATAGATTATATCATTTTTTTTTTTTTATTTTTTTAAAAGTTTCTCTCCCATTTTTACTATATATACATATCTTGATTATAAAAATAAATGGGGGCTTTAAAATGTGCCAAAAAAAAAATTTTTTTTTTTTCGTGTGAGAATTTCGGTCCTCTCTTATTTACCGCTTAATTTCTTTTCCCTCGGTTTTACTTTTTATTCTCTGCGAAACAAAATTTGAAAGTTTTGAAATAAAATACATTCTTAATTTTATGAACGCGTTTGTTTATTTTTATATCAATTTTTTTATTTTATTTTATTTTATTTTTAACAAAGTTAGTATTTATTGAGGGTTGAAATTAATTGTTGATTTTATTTATCATCATTTTATTTGCATAGTTCAAATGCTAAATTAATTCTCCATTTTAATTTTTCTTTAACGACGAAACTTTTTCCTACAAGAACGACACATAAATAACTTGGAATTCATTGTTCTTAATTGCCGACGAAATCTACCTCAAAAATATCTATCAATCAAAAAACATTCTTCAACTTACGACCACAAAATCAGCCAGCAAAATGTGGCAAAGAATTCTAAATACATCATCAACGTCGACTCTCGTATCAAAACACCCAGAATCAAATAATAAATTAGAGAGCAGTAAACCAATGTTAAAGAAGGCTATTTCCATGGATTCTCTACATAAAAAACCTGTATATTTCAAAAAGAGAAACGGTAGTCTTGACACAAATGTATTAAGTCAAAATTATTGGTTGACAAACGAAAAGGTAAAAGAGGAGTTCTTTGTTCTATTATTGTTTTATTAAACATTTAGTCGCACGAATTGGATTGGTTTAACAGTACGTTATATTATTTATATTATATTATTTATTTATTTATATTTTATTTATTTATTTTCATTAAAAGAAATCCTCCACAAGTGATCATTCGACAAGTTCACAGGATGAGACTTATGTGGTCGCTTTGATTGGAAAACCGTCTGTTGGAAAATCAACAATCGTGCGAACAGGTTTGAATAACCTGGCCCCAATAACAAATGTCGGCACGGAAACAAATATTTTACATGGTATTTTACTTGAAATTTTTTAATGAAATAAAATATATATAAAAAAAAAATAAAACATCATTCTTATCTTTTTTTTTAGTTCCAACATTAATAACAGAAATTGATGTCGATGACCATGCATATCCTGTTGAAGTGCTAGAAGTTCAAGAGAATGTTTTCGACATGAAAGCTCCTCCAGTTAGATGGCCAATAGTACGAATCATTTTTTTTTATTCATATAAGAACATTAAATAAATATAAATATATATTTTTTTTCTTGCTCGATTTATTTATTCATTGCTTTTATTTTAATAAACATTTAGGAACTTCCCGAGATTGATGGGATTCTAGTTTGTTATGACGTCACATCACGTGCATCGATATCGAACATCGAATGGCTTCTAAGTAGGTTTTTTTTTCGCCCCTTTTCTTGTGTCAGCCACGCTGATCACGTGATATTTTTTTTCAGATGCATTCAAAGAATTTCAAATCCCAACAATATTGGTCGCTTGCAAAGCAGACTGTGAATCATCAAAACGACAAGTTGAAACATCATTCGGTTCAAATCTTGGTGATCTATTTAATGTTGGTTTCATTGAATTGGACACGAGATCGGATGCCGGAATACAGAAAATTCATAACGTATTCTCAATGTTACTTAGATTATCGATACGGCATCGAGGTTTTTTATCATCCATAATCTAAAATATTTTTATTTGCTTTTCAAATATGAATTTAATCAAGTTCTCTTTATATTGTTGTAGGATTCTCTCGACAAAGTCACGTTAAAGGAGCCGACTCATCATCAGACTCATTATTTTTATACAGCGTAAGCAGTGATGCTGAATCAGAAAAGGCATCATTAAGTCACAGAAGAACGTCAAGTGACTTAAGTCATGAGTCAAGGGGACGAAGAAAGTTTTCGAATTTATCAGCGGTTCGTTTTATGGGAAATCGATATGGTAATCGTTTCGGAACCGCTAAAGTTAATTCGCGGAAATGTAAGATAATAATCTCATATACATATGCATTATTAGATGATTTGAAGTTAGGAATTCAAGATTAAATTTTTTTTCTTTTTTTGATTCATTTTAGCGCGATCCCCCTTAAACAGGCTAAGTAGTGATGATGAAGGTGGGTATCTTTCTTGTTCACTTCTTTTTTCTATACCTATTTAGGAAGATTCTAAACATTTTACATCTATAGCAATAACGCCGCCGCAAACGCCTCCGACACATTCAATATTATCTCAAGTTTCGCTACCTCCAGTTCCTGTATCTCCAAGCAAACATCACCACCCCGAAAGGAATTCTCATCGACGATCTATTTTACCTTCATCGAATCTATTACAAGTGGTGGAGGTTGAAGAAGAAAAGGATGTGGTCTCTGTGAGGTCTGCAAATAGTAGAATCTCAACTGCAAGTTATGATTCTACTTTAAGTTCGATCAGTGGAAGAAGTGAAAATTCTTTAAATATGGAAAGTTTCTTTATCAATGATATTTTAGAAAAGGGACCAAACAAGTGTACTGGGTATTTATGTTTCTATAAATATGCGAATGAGATTTTTAAGATTGTTTGTATGTATTCGTTAAACCTTATTATTATAAATTCACAGAAATCGAACGGATGGTATGACTATCGACGAATTGATTCATCGATTAACTGTTGGAGGTCAATATGGTACACACGATGATCCATTTACGATCACCTTCTTTGTTATTTACCGAACCTTCATGAGACCTCGAGATGTTTTGGTCAAGTTGATTCAAAGATTTTATGAATGTGAAAAAGATATTAGAGATAATCGGAATAAAACTCATGAAAAGTACGTTATCGTCAACAATAGGTCTTTTGCTTCCCTCTTAAAAAAAAAAAAACCGAAAAAACTAATTCAAATGATAATGATTTTCTTTTTATCATTAGAATATGTAACCTATTGTTTACTTGGATAACTCATCATCCAAACGATATGATTCATCCTCATACACGGAAGATGTTGCGCCAGTTCTTTGGCAAAATTTCAACGTGCTCTCATCTTTCGTACTATGCTGTATATCTTGACCCCTTAGTTAATGGAACAATACCTGGAGATGATCCAGACTCTATATGGGGATTTAGCGATGTTGATGATGATGAGATTGCCAGGGAAGGGGAGGAAAACCGTAATGGGGACAGTAATAAACCATCCTCTAAAAAAGACAGTGGTTTCGGTAGCTTGTTCAATGACAATCCAGACGATTATCAAACGGAATTAACCGCAGCATCTCTTGCATATCCTTATCGTCCGAGTCTTTCAAAGCACCGCAAAGCTTCTTTAATTATTGTAAATAACGGTTCAGCCGGAAGGCCGATATGTCAATTGCCATTCGAAGAATTTCCTGAAAAGACAATTGCAAATGAGCTAACCTATCAAGAGTTCCAACTTTTCAAAAAAATTACGGCAAGAGACTTGTTGAGACACATTTGGTCGCCACAAGGAAGTCCACAGCGTGAAAATGGTAGAGTTGCTCAATCCATTAAACATTTCAATTTTATTTCAAATTGGTAAGTTGATTCAATGAATTAAAATAAATTCTCTTAACATTTAAAAACTATTGATAATAATAATTATTATGATTATTTCTTAATCAGGGTTTCTACAATAATTTTATCTCAAGATAAATTGAAAAATCGCGCATCGATGTTGAAAAAGTTCATGAAAGTCGCAGTGGTAAGTTTTAACACAAACGCTTCATTGTTTTATATTAAAAAAGCTGCTTCTTAATTTTTCGCTTTCTTTTTGATATAGATTGTTAGAGAATCCAATAACTATAATACTTTAATGGCAATTATTGCTGCGATCAATTCTGCGCCAATCTCACGACTTCGTCGTACACGCGAAATTATAAAAGGAAAATCGACATATAAAAAATTTCATAATCTGGAAGTTTTAATGTCAACGGACAAGTCATTTGGTAATTATCGTATGGCGTTGAAGGCACCTTCAAGGGGAAATGACGAACAATTAGGGATACCTTATCTGTAGGTTACATTTTTGGAATAATAATCGCTGCGTTTTATTTGTTTTCCATATTTGTCTTACTGATACATGTACTTTATGCGTATACAATATATAGCGGTATTCATTTGCAGGACTTATTGTCTATCGGAGAGGGGAATAGGAATTTTCAGGAAGATGGCAGAGTTCATTGGAACAAGTTCTCACTAATGGGTTGTGTCATCAACATGATCCGAAAGTTTCAAAAGAAGTACGTACAGTCCTTAATTTTTTTAATATTGTTTGTTGATATTATCTTGGAAAGTAGTACAAATTAAATTTATAATATTTTATCATTATTAAAGATCTTATGATATTAAGAACAATAAATTCATTGAAAAATTTATTGCTGACACATTGGTGATGAGCGATGATGTAATTACTTTTTCGTCCTTATTTTGTTAAATTTTTTGTAATTATGATGGTAATTAAAAATTTTTTTTTCATTATAGGACCTATATAATAGGTCATTGGATCTTGAACCTCGAATTCAAAGGTCTTCTAGTACAAGTAGAGTACGAAGGAAGTAGAGTACAATGTTAGATTGGCTGGCCAACTGGATAATATCACAACACGAGACACATTGGATAATAAATACCAAAAAAAAAAAAAAAAATCAAAATCAAAATTTTTAAACAAAAACTTTCTTACTTTCATCGATTTGATGAACGATTTATAAAAAATCCGTGCTTTAATTTTCTTACTATTCTTTTTTATAAAAAAAGAAAAAAAAAATTTTTTTTTTTTCATTCCTTCTATTTGAAAAAAATTCAAATTCCTTTACAAAATACCCTTTGTATATATTTTATAATTACATAGCTTTTAATTATCGTATATAGTTTTTTTTTTTTTTACTTTGGGTTTTGGTTATCAAATTTTGGGTATGTGGGCTTTTTTATAACTAAAAACAACTATAATCCATTGTATTTAGTTTCCTCCCTTTTTTATGAAATTTTTGGGACGTTGCGAAAACCATATTGTAATATACATATTCGAAAAAAAAAAAAAAAAAAAAATACGATATAAAATATTTTTGTGTCGTTTAGTTTAATTATCACTATTATATATATATATTATTTATATATATGTATATATTTTATTGTTTTTTATATTTTTAATATTAGTTAGTATTAATGTAATTTTATTATAATATTGTTTTTAATTTTTTTTTTATTTTAATTTTTTTTTTTTTTTCAAGATTTGAGCATTTGATTAACATTAAGTGCTTAACTTTTTTTTTTCATTTAAGTAATATTTTTTAACAATAAACGATAACGTTTGAGATTAATTGAAATTTGAAATAAAATAACTTGCAATCTTGAAGATTTATGACTTTTCTACCCAACTTAGTTTAGGCAATGACCTTAATTTTAATAAAATTGCAAATTTAAATATCGTGATCTAAATAATACAGAACCACATGTCTATTCTATTTTGACATATGAAAGCTTGCGGCAATATTTTTCGCAACGTCTCGTTTTTTGAGGAATGATCGTAGATTTATTTCAAGAAAATTTATTCGATCTAATTTTTTTTTGAATTATATTCATATGAAAAATAAGTAGTGTGTTTCGGTTTATTATTATTTTTTTTTCTTTTTTTTATGATGATGACCAAAAAATTACTTACGTAATCAAATAACAAATCCCTGGAAACTCGTGAGATATAAACAATGTAATGCACAATAATCATGTGTTAACATATCCTATTTTATAATTGTTAAAAGATTTCTTGACAGGTTTTATTTTGAATACATATGTATATATATTATATACAGTATATATAAAACGATGCGCCATCTTGCATAAATTCTATATTGTTAAGAAGTGCGATTTGTATTATGAAAACCAATTAATGAATTCTTAAAACCTTATTATAATAACAAACGCTATGATTCATCGCTAGACCAATCAATTAGATGATTTGCATATTGTGTGATAAGAAATTTGGGGATTTATGATCTCCAAACCCTTGAACATCTCAATCCGACAATTCGGATCAATAATTTCTTAATTTTTTTAATTTTTTTATTTTTTTTTTCCATCTTCCCATATAAACATCACCTGATTCGAAGTCCTCTGACATCAATAGCAATTGAGTTCTTATTCAGGATTGATAGAATTCCCCCCATCGAGAAATGGTATTATGAGAATAATACTTTGGGAATAAAATTAAACTTTCTCATCCATAATATGCTAACTCGGATCAAATAATGTCTGCTAACATATTTGCTTATCCAGGTTGTACTCAAGCATATCTATCTTGTGTCATGTTAATAGACAATAATGTTTACCCAGGTCAATTAGTCAATATATTTTTTGTAGAATTGCAATATTACCCTAATTTTCTAATTTTAGCATAAAAGATTTTTCGATATCGAAATAGTTATCCACAAAAGGTTAATCTTAATTTATTTACTATTACTATAAATAGTTTTAATGTGGGTTACACTGTTACACTAATGCATTCAGACTATCCAATATATGTCCCTTTTTTTCCCGAAAATCTTACCGAAAACATTTTGGTAAACAGAACAGCCAGTCTTTAGAATAATACAGTTTGCGTTTTTCTATCTCCAACGCATGTAGAGCTTGACTCTGGCTCTCAGCATTTTCATTCCTTTCTTTCTTTTTTCCTTACTTGATTACGTTTTTATACTTTACGTCAATAGAAACTTATTTTAATTTAACAAATACCAAACATGTTTGGATCGCTGGCCGAAAAGCTGGTATGTTTTAAGCCATATTTACTTCAACAAGCTTGTATTTGGGAATGAGACCACTCTATTCTGAACAACAGTAAACAAGCTTTACGTTGCAACTTTAAAAAAATTAATTATTATTAGTATTTTTTTTAAAAATTAAAAAAAAAAACTGAATTTTTATTTTAAAATTTAATTTAATTTTTATTATCTTTTATATTTTATTTTTTTTAAAAAAAAAATTTAATTAAAAAATAAAACGAATTTATTTAATTCAAATTTGACATTATTGTAGTTTGGCCAATCTTATTACGCTCGATATGCATTCATGGTATCGCTGTGTCAAGCGATTATAGTGTCAGTACTGGAGAGCTTTGTTTTTGTAACACATACAAAGGCTGCGAATCGAATACTTGAAATTGAAAAAGAAGTAAAGGATGATCACGGTTTACTCAAGGAATTTACAGATATATATGCACTAGCAAAGAGCATGTCAATATATCATATTCTATTTATCGTCAGTCAATTCTTCCAGCTAGGGTTATGTGCTGATGCGGTGAGTAATATATTATTATACATCATCAAATATTATATCAAATTATTAAATCCCATCTAATTCGAATAACAGCTTTATCACCAAAATACAATTCAACTTATCGCGCTAAGCTTATTTATATTTGCTGGATTTGCTTTCTCCGCAATCCAAGGTAAACCATATTAATTTATAAATCATACTTTTAAGTTAAAATAAGAGCTATACTAATCAGACGAATTATTAGTGTACCAATCAACTTCCTTAATTACTACCAACGGAACTATCCAGGAGATTTTGATTCGAGAAGGTCCCCTTCCCAAAGATGCTGTTCCTTTTGAAGTTGCCATTATTGTAGTGATGTTTATTTCTTCGATAAGTTTTGTATACTTGTCTTATAAATTGTATCAGGAATTTGGTTGGTCAATATATAAGAAGATTGGAGCTGATATGGAAATGAGAGGTATATATATATATATATATTAATTTAATATTGATTTATATTAACAGAAATCATTGGTTATTGATAAAATTTACTTTTATCATTATTAGATCGTTATAAAATATATCAGAGTAAGTTTGATTGCGATTTCGTTCTTTGTGAATTTATCTTTAATTAAGGAATTTAATTCTTACGTTTTTGTTTATAAAATTATATATAGTTTTCATTATGCTTTTAAAGTTTGATGTTTTCTTTCTCCTTGGATTCTCGTTTCAATTTTTAGCTTTGGTTGTTATTCTGGAGGCATTAAGTGATCTATATCTTCACATTGTTCTATCATTGTTAACATCGATCGGAATGCTCATAGTGGGGTTTTTGGGGGTCAAGTCAGAGAAAAAGGTCTACATGTATCTTTTCATGGTAGGAATTTGTGCGGCAGAAGGTTATATTATAGCAAAAATAGTGAATGTGACGGAGAATCCTAATAATAAATATCGTGGCACAAAAAACTTTGTCACATTTTTTCGTAAGTAACTCAAGTCTTGGTGTCAACGTTTTGATTTTTTATTGATCCTTTTTTTTTTTTTAATTTATATATATACGTGTAGTCTGTGTCTGCTTGGTCCTTGGTGTGGTAAGCGTTTATTAATACGAAAATATAATTTTTTTAACCAATTTCTTTTTATATTAATTTATGTTATATATTGCTCTTTTAGGTAACTTTTATTATATCATTCCTTTGCTTAAGGAACTTTGACAAGGGATTGAAATATCATCGTGAGTATTCCATTTTATACTATATTCTGGGGGAGGTTCCAAGATGTTTAATCCTAATTTCATATTTTATGAACAGTCTCACGTAGCACGAGCCTTACATCAAATAAAAATGGACAAAACGTCTTGGATGAAAATGATCGTGAATATAACCTTGAAACTGTAAATCGAACCACACAAAGATGGTCACTTGATTAAAGATTGAATAAAAATAATGTAAATTTATTTATTAAATTCAACGGAAATTTTCAAAAAAAAAAAAAAAAAAAAAAAAAAAATGGAAAGGGAGAGTAAAGAAGGTTGAAGGGACATATATATTGTTAAAATATATATTATTTATTTTAATTTAATTTTATTTAAAAATTCTTTACTATTCTCTATATTCTCCTTTTTTTATTCTTCCTTTTCTCTTTTTTTTTATGTATAGTTTATGAAAGCTTTAATTTACTTTAATTGGTATAATGTTTTAAAAATTTGGAATGTTATCTTTATGAAAAAATTTAGTTGCGCACGAGCTTTCTTTTCTTTTTTTTCACCATATAAACTATTTTTTTAATCTTTCTCCCATTTTATTATTTCTTTTTATTTTCATTTGTATTTATATAATTTTTTTGCCCTTCATAAAAAAAAAAAAATTAGGTTAACAAACAAAAAAAAATAACTTGTATCTACTTGTATTCTTTAATCTTTCACATTAATATACACCGAATTGTAATCATTAATTTCTTTGGCACGTGGAATTTATCCAATTCAACAAAGTTTTTTTAGCATGGCCAGAATGTTTAAATTGTCACATTGAAGATTCAGGACAAAACAACGGTAAAGGTTGATTTTCCTTGTTTCTCATTTCTCAATGATCTTAATCAAATCCAAAAAAAAGTCTAAAGAGATACTTTGTTCCTTTTTTTCCTTTTTTCATTTTTGTTCAGACAGATCTTTTCTTTGGAATCCTGCTATGATCAAGTTTCTGCACTTGATATTCCATGATTAAAAAAAGATTATAATTCTTTACTTAAAGAATTGGGCCTTTCATTTTATTTTTATAAAAATATAATTCTTGACAGAATGAACTTAAATTATTAAAATTATTAAATGATGTTTATAAATAATATGTAACTAGATTTACTTCTATAAAAGATCATGGAACATAATAATATAATCAATTGACTTTTAAAACTAATAATTGAAAAATTGCTTTAAATTATATGTATATAAGACAATCAGATGACAAATTTCTCCATGCAAGAAAATATCCTTTTCACAAACTCGCTTTATTCACGTGATATGTGACGAAATCAGCTTATTGATTGGTTAATTAGAAAAGCTCTCGAGCTAATTGAATTATTAATAAAAAAAATTCTCGTCATTTTTTTTTATCAAAAAGTGCAATGAAACTTACACCGGAACTTATCGAACGTTCGCTTAGTTTTATCAATGCTGTCAAAGATCGAGAACTCGATTTGCGGGGTATCCTTTAGAAAGGGTTGTCGTCTCTTATTTGTTATAGGGTAAAATATGCGTTCTAATAAGCGACATTGATTAGCTAGTCTTCTTGTAGATCGTTATAGTTAATGTGTGGGAGAAGGGAAAAGTTTTAGCATTAGTTTGTCTGTGTAGATCTTGCTTCAACTTATTGATAATAAAGAACATTTTTTCCCCCAATATATTCTCAATATTATAAAAACATTGGGCAATGATCAACTAAAAGTGACATTGCCCTGTATTATATTATTTTGGTTTGGGTTTGGATTTTGTTTGACAAAAAAAAAATTATTTTCCATATTGTTCCCTGACTCGAAATTCTTTTTATCCTTTTTTTTTTAATTTATTAGGTAACAAAATTCCCGCTATAGAAAATCTTGGTGTATCTAAGGTAAGTTATCAGATAAATAATGATAATAATTAATAATATTTTAAATGTTAATTCTTATGCCTTATCATTATTTAGGATCAAAATGACACTATTGATCTAACAGATAATGATATCCGCGTTCTTGGAAATTTTCCGTTATTACGCCGAGTTAGAACCTTATTATTAGCGAATAATCGTATTACCCGCATTGACCTACAAATATCGGAATTTCTTCCTAATTTAACAACTTTAGTTCTAACTAATAACAACGTATCAGAATTATCAGATATTGATCCTTTATCGGGATGTTCTAGTTTACAATATATTAGTTTGTTGGATAATCCTGTTACAAGAAAACAATGGTATAGAAGTTGGATTATTTGGAGAATTAAAAGTGTTAGGGTCCTGGATTTTAAGAGAATTCGTGATGTGGTGTGTGTGAACTTTCATTTTTTCATTACTTCTTTTTTTTTTTTTTTAACATGATTATTAAATTTTTGGGGTAATAGGAACGTAAAGAAGCCAAACAATTGTTTGAAGCATCAAAGGGTGAAATGACTTCTCTTGCCAAATCCATTTCGGAAGTCGCATCCAAAACATTTGAACCAGGTGAAGGATTGATTTCAAGCAAGGGAGTCAATCTTCCCAAATCAAACTTGCCCACACTTGGAATGTCGTTAGAAGAGCAATATAAAATTAAGGTAAGATCAAACACCAAGATTTTACCAAATGTTAATTAAAAATTTTTACGTGTTCTTTTTTTCCAACCATTTAGGATGCAATTCGTAATGCTAAAACTTTGGAAGAAGTTACACGCCTTGAAAAATTATTACAATCAGGGCATATTCCCGGTACAAGATCTATTGGTGAAATTGGGCAGGGAGAATTACAAATTGAGGAGGACGAAGAAATGGAAAGTTGAATTTGCTTAACATATTTATATATGTTTTTTTATTTGGAATCACAATTTGTATTTTATTCACTGTTAGAAGAATAGTGATGTTTTTGACAAAATTTAAAAGTTCTAGTTCACATCTGGATATCACTTTTTCGCAAGATTACAACTTTAAAAAAAGCATTAAATTTCTACTTTAACAATTGATAAGACGGGCAAGACATTCCCATCATCATCGCAAATTTATCTTTTGAGAATATCTTATTCTATAGAATTTATCCTTGGACAGTTATTATTACTTATTCTTAAATGAATGTACTAAAAAAAGGAAAGATTAGGTGTATAAAAAAATTTTTTTTTTCTTTTCTTTTTTTCTTTTTAACGAATAAATAAATATAATTTTTTTTTATATTTATACATCCAAAATATGAGCACAATAAACTTCAGTTTGTTCAATAATTATGTTATCAAGCAGAACCGAATGATGATGATCCTTATTTGTTTTACGATCATGAATTAAAAAACAACAAATAATTTAGTATCATTCCAATTTGAAGTAATTCCTATGGACCATCGATAGTGATGATTAAATCATTTCGAATATACAATACAATGCCTTCTATTATTTTTCTAATATATATATATAATTCAATTATACAATTATATATGATTCTGCTTTAATAAATAGATTGATTTAATTATTTGATATCAATAATGATTTTTTTTTAAAAAATTAATAATTCTATTTGTTTCTTTTTATTTATGTAATATAAATCATCAAAATCATCAATAAAATATTGTTAGATAGATACTATATGATATTTTTTAAAAAAAGGTAATATAATTTGCAAATAAAAAATCTATTTATTTATTTATTTTTTAATAAAAAAAATAATAATAATAATTTCAACTATTAATTAGATGAATTTAATAAGCAAATTTCATATTTTATAATTTGATATTAAAATATGATATATTTTTTTTATAAATAATTTTATATTAACCATTTAAGAATAATCAAAAAAATTATAAAATAAATAGAAATAGAAATTAAATAATAATAAAATAAAATTTAAATTATTATTAAATATTATTATACATATACTTGGATTTTATTTATACACAGTTATCTAAAAAATTATATTATTATATGAGAACATTTCTAGTAAAATCAAGTTATTAAATATAGTATAGTTGCTTGACGAAACCTCAGGGTATTGACAATTGTCGAAAGTCGAAACCTATTTAGACGTTTTGACTTTTTAT